TATATCAGGCAATACTGCAGACCCCAACACTTTTAAATGGAGTTTGGATAGAGGTTTTATCTTGCTCCCTCCATATGTCTCTTTAACTTGGCCAATCTTACAGATCTGACCTAAGAGCTCCCATCTTCTCTTGACAAATTACTCCAAGACCCACCACCTACATTCTCTTTAAGCTGTGGAGTGCTGTACTGGTGCTGTACACCCAGTGTTGCTGCTCATTTGGTTCTGGTCACAGATGGAATTTTGTGTGCACATCATGGGGTTTCCACGAATTTTCCACTCAGTGCTGGTGGAAAATTAGAGTCATGGGGTTTCCACTAATTTTCCACTCCGTGCTGGTGGAAAATCAGAGTGAATATTGCCCCCCACATATCCAATTTGTGTTCTTAGGACTATTACAAGATCAATTTCCTAACATTCATAGAAGGAACTGCATACAACCTATCTGTGTGATTTGCACAAGCATGTGACAGTTTAAAAACCACCAACATGGAGGAATTCATGGAAGCATATATGTAAAGTGTGTCATCTTATTTCTGCTTAAGGTAGGTTAAGAACTATACCATGTTTGGCTCACCCTTTAGTGGTTTTACTTGATTTCCTGTTGCAGTTTGTTGCACTCAGACAGAACAAAACCTGTTATATATTACATAGATATATGTCTACGGGTGACCTTGGATGGCACACATTTCAGTTTAAGACATCCATTTAAAAAGGACTGTGTGGGACCTATTCTTGTCAGATTGCTGTAGAAACAAATGTACAGATTACAAGATATGTAATAATGAAAATAACTAATAATGAGCAAACCTGGCTTAGTAGCTCTGAGAGTTCTGTACCTGGCTGTGAAGCCAGAGGTCAAGCGCCTGGTTCCCCACGCTGCTTCCTGGGACAACCATCAGCTCCTGAAGCCTTGGGCAAGCTACACAGTCCCAAAGCACTGTTCCCAGAAGAAGGAAATGGTAACCCATTTCTAAGTGCTCTATACATAGGAAACTGTGCAAAAGGTTGCCATAAATCAGAATCAACTTGATGACATCTCATTTTTATTATCAATAACGAGCAAAAATCTCTTAAGTACAATGGGCTGGAAATATTCTAAGTCTGCCTTTTAGTTTCAATATACCTCCCTCCATCTCTACTCTCAGTAAAGCTGCCACAGGTTGGTGTCTCTGACAGAAAAGCCTGTTTTTGATACAATGTCATCTATCATCTGCTCTCCTCTGATAAACACAAGCTGGTTTGATAAGGTATATAGTGACTACATTCAAATATAATGGCAAAGTACATAAACAGACACAAGTCTCAGACCTGCAAACTTAATTTTTTTTGTACTATATATGAATGAACGTTAATAACTTCTATTTCTGGTTTGCACAAGCCAGGATCAAACTTTGGTTTGGATGCTGCTGTGCTCAAACCACAGTTTGCTGATTTGGGACAAAGCAGCAAAATATGGTTTACTCCACTTTACTTATTTGCATTTACAGACCAATTGGCAAATGATCTCAGGATGGTATGCAACTATATAAACACAAAACAAATCACAGATCATAACCAGAAAAATCAATCAGTCAAACCTTAATCAAAATACTTAACTACATGAGCAACAATAAACACTAAGTAGTAAAAGCAAAAAATGACAAGTTAACACACTAAATTACTGACAGGAGATGAAAGACTTAACCTGATGTTTGAAGATTAAGTAATGCGAATGTCATGTGACTCTCCTGTGTGAGAGAATTCTACAGATGCTATTAACAAAAGCTTCTGACTTGTTCCTCTCAAGTACTGTATACAGGAAGAGGAGTATGGATTCCAGGAACTCAAAGCCTTGGCGGCTTGCAATAACGAATCATGGCTTACATGTCTGAAGAACTAAAGTGTCTTTGATTTATAAATATCCTTAACTTAAATCAATGGTAGGATATGGATTCCACAATAATTCTTCCTTCCAGCTACTAACCACTAGTCTGAGCTGTTTATCAAAAGCAAATGAGCATCTTTTGCCAAAATGCATACTTGAAACAGGTGAACATTGTAAGTTCAGACCCCCTAACACTACAAAAAGTCTGATTTGGAAATTTCTTTGTACCCATTATTACCATCTGACTAACTTCCTTAAAGCCTCCAAGGAACTACTGTCAATGCCTACTTGACCTTTAGGAATCTTTGAATGATTGGCTGATTTTAGAAGCTAGCTTGGGTCAGACCCACAGCAGCTTCTCCTTCCTTCTAAGCTGTCTGAGAGGGATCAGGGAAGAGATCTTTGTGCGTTGGTGGACAGTTTGATGAAAGTGTCAACCCAGTGTGTGGTGGCAGTAAGAAGGCCAATTCCATGCTAAGCATCATTAAAAGGGGGGATTGAAAATAAAACAGCCAACATTATAATGCCATTGTACAAAACAATGGTAAGGCCATACCTGGAGTACTGAGTACAGTTCTGGTTGCTGCACCTCAAAAAAGGCATAGTGGAACTGGAAAAGGTGCAGAAGAGAGCGACTAAAATAATGACTGGGCTGTGGCACTTCTCTTATGAGGAAAGGCTACATTTGGGGCTCTTTAGTCTAGAGAAAAGGTACCTGAGGGAGAACCTTTTATACATGATGGAGATGTATAAAATTATGCAGGGGATGGATAAAGTAGATAGAGGGAAGCTCTTTCCCTCTCATACAATATTAGAACCAGGGGACATCCACTCAAATTGAGTGTTGGAAGAGTGAGAACAGATAAAAGAAAATATTTCTTGACCCCGCGTATTGTTAGTCTGTGGAACCCCTTGCCACAAGATGTGGTGATAGCATCTGGCCTTTAAAAGGGGATTGGACAGATTCCTGGAGGAAAAGTCCAATTTACAAGCCATGATGGGGATGTATAATCGCCAGGCTTCAAAGGAAGGTACCTCCAAATGCCAGATGCAGGGGAGGGGTATCAGGAGACAGGTATCTACTTGTCTCATGTGCTCCCAGAGGCATCTGGTGGGGCTACTATGAGATACAGGAAGCTGGAGTAGCCTGCTCCAGCAGGGCTCTTCTTATGTTCTTCCCTTGGGTTCCTTTTGAAAAAAGAGGGGATTGCTATTGAAAAAACCCAGATTGTGCAATTGTTCTCGCTAAGGCTGATGTGCTACTTTAATTTACCTAGGCAATGGATATAGGGAAGATTGGAGGGACTCTTACAGACACTGGAAAAATCAGCACTCTTGTCCAGGAATGTAGCTTTCCCAGCCATACTTGCAAGGGATGTGCTATTCAGTTTTGTTTTGTATTGTATTCCTGCTCCCAGAATGTTATAAGAATTTCCCAGGCAGAATTCTGGAAGTTCTGTATTCCTGCTCCCAGAATGCTATAAGAATTTCCCAGGCAGAATTCCGGAAGTTTGAACCCACAGGCCCACACCTATTTTGCTCATTTGGAGCAGGACCTCCAAGCAAAACCTGCCTCAATGCAAAAACATTTAAAATTATTTTCCTTCCTCCCTCCCTCCCTCTGTGTTTCATTGGACTGTCAATGAACAGGTAATAGAATGCTAAATGCTTATAACTCACATATTCACTGTATTGATCACTAAGAGATTAGCAGAAAGACAACTCTTTCTCCACATATAACAGAAACGGCTATAAAATTATGTAGAGAAGTATGGGCATGGTGAAGCATGGGAACAATTCTCCTTAACATTTGTTAGAACTTGAGATGGGGGTATTCGTATACTATTACTCCATGCACAGGTGGACGTGACGAGGGGGCGTCCCCCTAGGGCCAGACCATCCACTCACCTGTCCGCTACTGGCTCCGCTTTCCCTTCCAGTCGCTCTGGAGCTCCTGACTGACTATCCTCCTGGCAGCAGGAAGGAAGACGAGTCTCCCTGCCAAGCTGACAAGTGGATAGCCGACCGGGAGCTCCCGAGCAATTGGAAGAGACAATGGAGCCAGTAGGCAGTTCAGCCCCAAGAGGCCGGTCCCTCGTCACGCCCACCAGTGCGGGGGTATTCGTATACGAGTATTCCCATCTTTAGTTAGAATCCATTCATCAGTTGCATGGAATTTTGCTGAAATCTGAGGCAAAGCCAAAGAGATTCATATACAAGTCGAAGCATTCTAGATACACTTAGAATAAAATCCTTGTTATAGTCTTCCCATTTCAGTTTTGTTTTTTCTGTTTTAATTTTTAATCTTTACATGTTTCTCATACATATACACTTCCTTCTCCAAGCACAGATAATTTAATATTCTTATTCTCTGTCTCCCATCACCCAACTTCAATTAGTGCAGAATTTATGCAAATTAACCAATATGACACCTAAATAAATTGTTGTGGTGTCCTGGGGAATGAGTGAAAAGAACCTTCAGAAGCAAGTCACAAAACAGTCAGACTACAAGATCAGGAAGTAGTTAGGTTATAGCTTCTGATAAAACAAATTAGCAGAATGGCTTAGTAAGGCACTCATAGCATGTATGGCAATATTAATTCAACATTTAAAAACAGAAGAACAAAGTGCTGAATCATGGAGGAAGAAGAACAGCAACTGAAAAGTGGAACATCACTAGACTTCTGTTCCAGTGAACTGTGGGACGGTCTGTGTTATTTATCAAAGAACTGGACTAAATGTCAAGGGAACCTTTGCACGGGAAATATCTTTAATAAAATGTTTTCCAGCATCCCTGACCACTGGCCATGCAGGTTAGTGCAACTGAAGGGCACAAAACTGGGGCATGCTATAAAAATGTAATACTGTACGTGTTTAAGCATGTTTAAGTCACATATAATTTATATTTCTGGACCATTCTTTATGTAAGTCATTGGGTGATTCATAATGCAAAAATTTCGCTCAAAACCCAATTCCTTTGTCACTGGCATAACTCTGGACAATCCTTTCACCATGACAATAACTGACTCACCTGTTAGCCAATCATTCCTCTCACAGCATTAAAACATTGTAAGCAGAGATATTAGTTCCACTTGCCCAATAACGCCCTCGCCCACCCTCACAAACCTATTACCTGTGCTCGATGCTCTCCGACTGCAAACTGTATCATGGCAATGCCAGGGTTATGGCTGTCATCAATCCTTTCCACTGTGCTGGAGTCAATTTTCAGGTCACTGCTAATTTCTGCACTCTGTATAAAGTCTTCAGTTTTTAGATCTTCTACTTTCTTCAGTTCTCCATTGGCCAACTGAATGATAGACCCTTTCATGAAGTAAGGAGGCAGTGTAGGAGGAGCTGCTGCTGAAGAAGGTACTGGCTGGACCAGGGGGAGGTGTATCTGGGCCTGCACTACTGCTGCCTGGTAAGCCGTCTGACTTGCTAGTGATTCAGCGTTGAAATTCTCACTTTTTGGAATGGTGGTAGTGACAAATGTGTGAGGCACTGCTGCCAACTGCGGAGATGATGTTGCTATAGCAGGTGGTACCCCTGAGGAGTCAATATCTGCATTGCCTACTGGTATTAAGAGGGGCTGAGTACCAGGGATCACCAAGTGCTGTGGGAAGCTTCCAGGATACCCAAAGGCTTGCTGCTGACTGCTCAGATAGCCAATGACTGGTGGTTGAGTCCCAGTGTAGAAAGCTGCAGCAGGCAACCCAACAGGGAGCTGCTCTGAGGTGCTATGGGTGGTCTGGATGACTGTGTGAGGGGACAAAGTGGCGACTGCTTTCACCCCTTCATGACCCACAGTCTGCTGTGGAGATAAAGCATAGGATCGGTGGACTGTTTTTCCCAAATGTAAGCTTCCCTTTTCATTGAGAGTTGAAGGAGGTGTTTCTCTGTTGGCAGCTTGTTGGACCTCCATGTCTCCAGTAGGTGTGTTGCTGTTGGGGACTACCATTATGGAGGACCGGACACTGGTGGAATCCCGTGCAATATAATCAGCAGGACCCGAGTGCACCACCACATGCCTGGCCTCACAATGATGAGGAGATGGTTTATTGCCTGATTTGACAAGATTTACTTCTGAGGATGGTGAGATGCCATATCTCCTACTCTTCTCTATTTCCCCATTCATGATTTCTTTTGCTTGCATAGCATGCAGCCTGTTGCTTTCAGACTTCTTGGTGGACTCCCTAGTGACAAAATGGCCACCAGAATCTGCATACTGCACCACCACCTGGGAGGAGGGACCGAGGGTAAATGCATGAGGAATCATGGTCTGGTGGGGATGTAAATGAACTGGGATAGCTGGAGGAGAAACATTTCTGACAACACTCTGAGAGCTGGAAATATGAACATATTGGTTTTGTTGGGTAGGTGGAGGAGACCCTGCAGTGATCAGTCCAGGTGTCCTGACTAGATGTGGCTCAACTTTGTGTCCCTGCTGGCTTACGTTGCTCATGCTGGCCAACAAAGTGGAATATGCCTCCAGCTGGGAACGCTGGGATGGAGTGGTTGCAACAGCAGTGGCAGAGGCTGCTGTGCTGGTTGCAGAACTAGCTGTTGGGGAGATCAGTGGGGAAGGGAGGAATCCGGCATATGGTCCACTGTACTGGGGCCCAACAAACTGCAAAGTGTGCTGCAGATGTGTGTACTGCACAGGGGAAACGGGTGTTCCTGCCTGTGAGAGTGCAGATGGGTACACTGTGGGAAGTGTTGCAGTGGCTGGAACAGACCTAGGAGCACTAGGTGGGGAATAATCTATTCCTGTCGATAATGATTTGTGTAAACCTATTCCCTGTTGTGAACCAGCCTCCACAGAGATTCCACCAGGCCTGTTCCATCCACTTGTGCTGCTTTGGCTGCTGGTTGTACTTGAGAGCCATGTTACATTATCTGCACGGTGGTTTTCACTTGCCAGAACCAATGGCTTAACCTCAGAAGGCAGGCTGGTGGCAGGGATCTCTCGTTTCTTGGGTGGAAGGCTTTCATTGCTTCTTTCCTGGTTGGATTTCATTTTTCACTGGCCCCTGCCCTTCACTTCTGTGGCTTCACTGCCTGGTTGGCTCTGATTTCAGTCTATTAAGTGGAAAGTCACATTTGATTTCTGAAGGGGATCCAGAGACTTCATGAGGAATCATCTCCCTGTGAGCACAATCCTCCACAAGCATCTCTAGAACAAGAAAAGAAGAGAGAGAGGGGAAAAAGAGGAAAAAATCAAAACACTAGTAGTTAGAAAAAATGAAGAGGAGTTTACCAAAAAATCAAGAACATTTTCTTTCAGAATTTCAGTTACGTATTAGGTTTACAGAGGCATTACTGAAAAAAAGTAGGGGATAGTCATTCTCTCACTCTCCTAACTTTATTCCCAGGAAATTCCTGGGAAAGGGGGTTAACATATGTTTTCCAGGAAAGTACCTATCCTAGATTTTTGAATTGCAGTTTTGTATCTATGTGTGATTATGAGTTCTTTTCAGAAATACATCCAGTCTACATCAGTACCTGTAACATTTAGTGGTAAACAAATATATATTTATAGAGCTCTATTATACAGACCTCTATTACCATCTCCACGCAAGAATTGGAGGTTGTTCATGACTTTGTGTACCTTGGCTCAATGATCTCTGACACTCTTTCCCTAGATGTCAAGCTGGAGAAACGCATTCACAAAGCACCTACCATGTTCTCTAGACTCACAAAGAGAGTATGGCTCAATAAGAAGCTGACAACACCAAGATCCAGGTCTATAGAGCCTGTGTCCTGAGCACACTCCTATACTGCAGTGAGTCCTGAACTCTTTGTGCACAGCAGGAGAGGAAGCTGAACACCTTCCATATGCGTTGCCTCCAACGCATTTTTGGTATCACCTGGCAGGTCAAAGTTCCAAACAGAGTAGTCTAGAACGAGCTGGAATTTTCAGCATGTATACATTACTGAAACAGCGACATCTACGTTGGCTTGGGCATGTCATGAGAATGGCTGATGGTCAGATTCCAAAATATCTCCTGTACGGAGAATTAATGCACGAAAATTGCCCCAGAGGGAGACCACAGCTGCGATACAAGGACATCTGCAAGTGGGATCTGAAGGCCTTAGGAATGGATCTCAACACATGGGAAACCCTGACATCTGAGCGTTCAGCCTGGAGGCCTCTCCCAATTTGAAGAGACCCTTGTCCAGCAAGCTGGGGCAAAGAGGCAGTCCTGAAAGTAGCAAAATCAGGGAGCTGAACAGGGGACAGATTGTATTTGTCTTCAGTGTGGAAGGGATGGTCACTCTCAAATTGGCCTTCTCAGCCAAACTAGATGCTGTTCCAAGTCCTCCATACAGAGCACGTTATCATATTCTTTCGAGACTGAAGGATGCCTAAATGAAAACTGATAGAGCTAAGGTGATCTGGAACTATTTCATGTTGGAGCAAAAATATGATAAAAATACAAAAAATATAGTAAGGACTGATGTACTAGCACAGTTGCTAGTTTGCTTCAGTTCTCAAGTCAAACCTTTGCCCAAATTACAGTTTAGCAATGTGGAGGAACACACAGACATATTACAGATCAAGAATGCGTGCACACATAAACAAAATTATAACAAGGTCTGCATGAAACCAATTCTAAAATTAATTTTGTTTAATTCAATGCATTTACTTCCAACCATCTTTCTGTGGAACTCAATTCAGTATACATATTTCAGAAATTCTCCAAGTTAACAGCAAATTCCTACTATGGAATTGCAATTATCTAAGTCAGGGGCCTAAGGTCAAATCTGGCTCACTCTCAGTAAGTGAGCATTTCTGCTACGGGTGCTGAGATATCTCCTCCCAACTGCTGTCCCCTCCTCTCCTTTCTTTTTTCGCCTATTCACCAAAGAAGTGCTCATACAGAATTTTGCTTTCTGATCCCTGCAATCTATATCTGCACGGTACAGGTTAAGCTCCACTTGCATGGTTAAAATTGCTTACTACAATGGCAGCATATGTAGCTCCAATCATATCATGTTCTCTTGTTTCCTAGTAACCAATGAATTGTGAGCTGCAGCTGCTCCATGACTGCTCTCTGTGTAGGAGAAGAGCACTTACAAATGACTGGGACCTGTTCTATGTAAGGAAACAGGTTTAATAGACTTGGGAGTATGCGTGGGAATCATGTTATACATAAGAATAGGAACAGAGATAAAGGGCAGCTGCAAAATTCAGATCTCAATGTTTGTACTTATCCTGGCATCCAACCTTCCAGGATGGCTCTACTCTTCACACTGTTGCAGATTTCAAGTGTGGGATGGCAGAGGAAGGCTGGCTGTACGTGTGTGCATCAATACAAATACTTCTGTGTGCATGTGTGAGTGCCTTGCAACCTATGGGAATATGGGTCTCAGTGATCTTAGAAGTATGCTACAAAATAAGGAGCTGCTTTCTGTCAAACTCTTTACCTCAGGATTATGTGGATAATAAAACATGGCCTAGGATCAAAAAGCAGTGCTAGAAACCAGGTTTGACAAAGGAGAATCACTCCCCTATAGTCCTAGTTTTGGTAGGTTATGGAGGAATAACATTGGCAAAGTGGGGAGAGTAGGCTTCTGGTTTTCATTAAACCTGTCTTCTCTCCTTCTTTAATCTGAACACTGCAAAGAAAGGCAGAGATAAAATACCAAGGTTGCAAACTAACAGTAACTTTGGTAAAACAGAAGTCATTCAACATGGGCAAGGCTCTGAGGGATAAGTTTAAAACACACATATAAACACACACACACACACACACACACACACACACAGAGAAAGTGCACCAAAGAGATATGAAAGAAAGATTATTTTTGCAACTGACCTTGTAAATAGGCCAGGGTTTCCCAGTTCTACACATATATACACGCAATTCCCACATATAATCAAGAGTATGTGGAGTTATTCAGCCATCATCTAATCTAAGCACCTATCAGCTATTGCTGACAATCTATAATTCAAGTAATACCAGTAAGTCTTTTGCAGCATTATTACGCAACAGTAATACTATTCACACTGTTATGGGACAATTGCAAAAGATAGTTATACTTAAGCAACAAAAATGAAAACTGACAGGAGAAAAACTCTTCAGTATGTATCAAGGATGTATAAAGGATTCAGAAGACTGAATACAATAACATAATGAGATCAAACAATCTGAGTTTGAGAAACAAGCCAAAAATAAATTTTGGATCATGTATCTTCAGGCAGCGTCTTGCTAACTTCAGCAAGTTGATGTTCTGCTGCAAAAAAGAGCTTATTTTAGTAAACACTAGAAATCGATTACTATTGCCTCTTGACTTGGACTTTAATTAAACTGCCAAAGTGGTAACAATCATTTTCTCTGTGTTCATATTTTATACACCATCATTAACAAAACAAGTTCATTCAGTCTTGCAGTTGATATGTTTATTTTTATGTTCTACAAATAAAGTAAAATGCTGGGCTTCATTAGTAGAGTCACTGTTAGTGAATCACACAGAACAGATTTTCTATTGCTGGCATCAGTTTTTGGAACATAATGCAATACAATGGTGCCTCGACTTACGAACGTCCTGACATACAACCATTTCGATTTACAACCAGCTCCGGCTGCAAAAATGTTGCTTCAACTTGTGACTGGAGCTTCGAGTTGCAACCAAAAAAAAGGCAGGGAAAAAGGCGGGGACTTAAAATTGCTAACCGTTGGTGGCGGCTGCTTCTTTGTAGCTCTTTTGCCCCAGCAGTTAGAGACAGTGCGATTGAAGGAGGCTTCAGACTGCCTGGTAAGATAAGGTGCTGCTTTTTACTTTTAAAAAACTGTTCTGGGTGGGTTTTGCAGCGTGGTTTTGGGCTGGGTGGTGGGATTATGTTTCTATGCTGTGATGGGTCTTGCAGGGTTTGTTTTTTGGGTTTTCCCCCCTCATTTCCGATGGGTCTTGCAGGGTTTGTTTGCTTTTTGCTTTTTTTTCCCCCATTTCCGATGGATCTTGTAGGGTCTTGTCTCCCCCCCCCCACTTGGCCGGAATGAATTAATTGCGTTTCTGAGGGTTATTGCAGTGTTCTGTTTTTGCAGATTTTTTTTTCTTTTGCCGGAATGGATTAATTGCATTTCAATGCATTCCTATAGGAAATGTGCTTCAACTTACGACCATTTCAAGTTATGACCGGAGTTCTGGAACCAATTAAGTTCTAAGTTGAGGCACCACTGTACAGTATGTCCCCCCCCCCAGTCTATTTTGCTACAAGAAGCCAAAGGGATGAGATAGATTCACAAGTTTACTTGTGTGTAGAGATGGGGGTATTAGTATTCGTAGATGAACACAAATACCTCCACGCAGGTGGAAATAAAGAACATCCACTTGGTGTTTGGCTGCTGCTGCAGGCGCAGCAACAGCATCTTTCTATTGTGCTGTTCTCTGCAATTGATTAGCCACTCTGCGACCTGACAGAGAGGCTTGTCATCCTGTGAATACCCCCATCTCTACTTGTGAGGCATTCAGACAGAAACTGCCTGAAGTCTGACCTTTCAGAGACATGAAAGAGCACTCTAAAGCAGGGTGCAATTTTAACTGACAACACAGATTCAAATACCATGATCTGTGATGCCATCAAGGTAATGCAGTCTCCTGCTCTGATGTTTGCACAACAGATTTTAGTAATAAAGCACTCTGCAAATCTCCTTCTTATACAGTAGCTTGATCCTACCATACCTATGTAAAGACAGTACGGGACATTAAGCACCCTTATGCCGGTGTACTTCTTTCTGACATATTACAGCATATTACAGCTAGACAACACAAAACATCTCACCTACCCATCTAGCATTACTGTTGTTGTTACATGCTGCCAAGTTGCATCTGACTTAAAGCACCCTAATAAAGTTTTAAGATATTTGAAAAGTTATTTTATTGGAGTTGCCACTGCTGAGCAGGGATTCAAACCTAGATTTCCAGAGTCCTAGGATATCACTCTATCCATTACACCACAATGGCACTCATTTAGCTCATAATGGGTAACACTGTGTTTTCAGTATCTTGGACATTACGAGTCTACTCACCTCACATCCTTCAAAGAGACTAGAAACTGAATCTTGGGCTTCAGCCGTATAAAGATATACTCCACCCCTGAATTATGGCTACATTGGATGGTTCCAACAAAACTGATGACATAGACTCAGGCTGGCTCATGAGATCAAA